GCAGTAAGAGAGGTAATTAATAATAAGGGATTATACTCATAGGAAGTAAGAACTCATATCTAATTAAACCCCTATCCAATCCTCAGGAAAAATATGGTTAACTACAATCTGACTTAAGAAGAATGAAATTCTAAGTCTACAAAACACGATTAATGCCCAAATCAAGTTGCAATATTTTTTATCTCACGCTTACCTACAAATAGATATCTTCGTTGAGAAAGCTTGGAACTATATTCTCATCCACCCCCCCCCCCCCCCCCCCCCCCCCCCCCCCCCCCCCCCCTCTCCCCCCCTCCCCCCCTCTCTTCCTCTCTCACCCTCTCTCCATAAGCCCCATCCTAAATCAAATTATCGGGCAACTTCCCAATGGAAGCCGTAAGCTCCATCCTAAATCAAATTCTTAGTCAACTTCCAAGGGAAGTCGTAAGCCCCGACCCTAGCTTAGCAGAAAATAGCTTACACCACGGTGAGCTCAAATTCTGAGGAAGGAAAACAATAAATTCCGAGCAACCATATGACTGCTATTTTGAATTCCAATCATCGCTGTGCGGTTAAGACACAAAATATGATAAAAAAACTAAGGTAGCAGAAAATAGCTTACACTGATTGAGTCGCAGCAAATGAAGGAATGAAGCTCGGCATCCCGCCCTACGTCTCACTAACATCTTTCCCAAGTTTCCAACTTGTTATCCACCATTAAAAGCATCCTCACAACGTCCACACCGCCAGAAGCCACTGTTCAATACCTGAATCTCAACGCAAAAATAACAGAAAAATAATAATACAAAAAAAAAAAAAACCCATATATAGGCTTCATCTGTGACAACTTTTTTAATGTTTTTTAAAATAATTTTTTAGTTTTTTTTTTTTTTTGAATTAAAATATTGTATTAAAATTTTATTTTTAAAAGTAAAAAAAAGTTGTCCAGGAAAAAAACCTTAGGCTTCTTCGTGAATAGCTTTTTATTATTATTATTTTGATGCTTTTAAAAAAATTGTGTTATGAAGCGACTACATAAATAATAAGAAAATTGTCCCAAATGAAATTTCACATATTTTTTTAGTTATTATTTATCATTTTCTAAAAATATATCAAATGATATTGTTGTTGCGTCATGGAATGTTCGCACTGGTATAGAAATATAAAGTTTAACATCTTAGTTTTGTACAAAGATACAACACACAATTAGATAAGAAAAAGGGTATTGCATTCATAAGAGGCACCAGAGTTTTTACATAGAAACCCTAAAAAAGGGGAAAAACTATGGGGCCTAGTCTAGCTTCAAGGAGTCCACTAATATTTGCAATCAATTACAAATGAGGCCCTTCTTAGGAGAAGACCTTGGCTTGATGTAAAAATCGTATTCGGGTGACGATGATCGAAAGGACTATAGTCTGGTGACAGAAGTCGGAATGATCATATTTTGGCAACGGTGGTCGGAAGGATCATAGTCGGCGGGCGACAAAGGTCAGAAGGATCGTAGTCGGCGGGCGACAAAGGTCGAAAGGACCGTAGTTTGGAGACAGAGGTAAGAATAATCAATGTCGGTGGGCGACGGAGGTCGAAAAGATCGTAATCTAGTGATAGAGATTGAAAGTACCATAATAGTGATATAGATACAGATATTATTTAATACTACTGATTCACTATATTGTTATTAAGCATGTGATATAATGAACACTTGATATAGAATAACTTGATAGCATGTGTACATTCCGATATGATTTTACTGCACTTATTTAATTTCAATGATATTTACTGAAGTTTTGATTGGATGCTTTATAGTATTTCTTTACTAATTAGTATTACATATATGACAATTACTTTATAGATTTGACATTTGTACTGATTTATTGCTTTATAGGCTTCTGTATTATAGTATTTAACTGTTTATAAATTATACTATTATTGCATATGAATTTTATTATTAGTGCATTGATTCAATGATCATGTGAATGTAACTGCTATGATTTGACTGTTGATATGCATATTGCTCATTTGTCGTGCTTTGGATTCAATTATAGGTTTAAGTGAACTGTTGGGCTTTTTATGTTCATTATATGTGGCTAAATAATTTTAGGACAGGGCAGGGGAGCAAGAGTGTGAGGCTGGTCAGGATTCTTCATGTTCTATTTCTTTTAGTTTTTCTTTTGTACTCAAGATAGAGTAGTTATAATTTGATTGTTGAGATCCTGTGTAGTACATATGAGTTTTGAGAATGAATATAAATTTATACATTGATGTTTTAAATTATAAAATATATTTTGTTATTTATTACTGATAGATGATATTAGGTTGCTCTGGTGTGGCTAATTGAAAGATTAAAATAATAATTCTCTCAATTTAGATGATAGGACATCATAGTGACATTTATTATTATTATTATCTTGGAGAGGGGTGTTCATTGTTTCTTAAAATTGATGTCAAATTTGTTCAGGGTGGAAATAAATAAGGAAAAATAGAAATTCAACAAAAATAAATAATATCAGGATTTGACGTGGAAAAATCTGAAACCGGTAAATAACAACGAAGCCACATCACACCAAAAATTTATGAATATTGGGAGAAAGTTGTGCATATTTCTCCTCTCTCGCTCTCTCATTGCTTCTCTTTTCACTTACACTGTTCTTACACAAGAACAAACAAGGAGATAAAATACATACCATAAGGGGACACCGCCCTTAAGAAAAACGAAAAAGAAAAAAATTGTTCAGTCGGTCTCGCTGCGCTGCAGTGCCAGTTCAGAATGTCGCAGCGCTCACTGTTATGTCTCAAGTTTGCTTAACAGCGTCGCAACGCTAGATCTTGAGTGTTGCAGCACTTTGTTCTATGTCTTTTCTCAAATAAAACTATACTGTGTCGAAGCACTTGGGTATATAGTGCTAGGGCGCTCGAGTATGCAACACCGAAGCGTTGTAAAAAAAAATTTTGAATGCAAAGCACTCGAAGCCAAGCAGCGGGGGGGGGGACCCCACATGCCCCGATAAGCACGAAAAAATGAGTTGTGATCCTTGGAAATAATACAGCTTGATTGATCGACACAATCATATTCCACATAGATAAACAAAATTTTTGTTAACTTTTATTTAATAGTATTAGAGAAGTTAGATCTCTGCACCTGGGCAAATAAAATAATCAAAAAGGTCAATGTTCCTGGTTTTAGTTAGAGATTACCCGAAAAATGCATTTGATTTCTTGGGATAAGGTTTGTAAGCCTAAGCTTTTGGGCAGTTTGAGTTTACATTCTCTTCAAGCCTTGCAATTTTGGGTTTAATTGCTCTGTTATCAGTGGGATGTACAACTATATATCGCCTCTTTCAAATTGGCTTCTCACAAGGTATACCTCTCCTTGGCGTTGCTCTCATGTGCATGCTACGACATTCTGGAAATCTATTTGTAGCTCTGGTGTCGCTGCAAAGCCTTACTTTAATTTCAAGATCACTCCTTATGCACCCATTGCATTTTTTTTGGGATCATTGGTGTAATGTGGATGGGCTTTCTAATCATTTTTCTAGTAATTTGAATGCTTCGGTTAGAGATTTAATTATTGGGGATGTGTGGAATTTGCCTGAAGATCTGGACCATGCTGTTATTAATGCTATTCATTTTGTTTCTATCAACGCTCATTATGAGCATTGCTTGCTGTGGGACAATACGGATAAGGGCTCTTTTGGGGTGTATGTCAAGAAATTCTACACTAATCAAACAGTTTGCTCTTGGGCAAATCACATCTGGCATAAACGTTATGCTCTACGTTTTTTTGTATTTGGTTAGCTGTGTCTTGTTGATGGTTTAAAAACTGCTGAAGCGCTGCATAGACACAATACTTTAATTGATTCGAAGTGCCCTCTCTGTCATTCTAGTTACGAGAGCTCTGCTCATCTTTTCTTTGAGTGCAACTACTCTTTCTCTATCATCTCGAGTTTAATTTCGGGGCCAATTTTTTTTCCTTTTGAGGCCTAATGCTGCGAAGTTATTGGACTGGATAAGTGATCAGGTGAACTTATCCTCGGATGTGAAAAGGCTTTATTATCTGATCACTTGTTGTGCTATTTATTATATATGGCTGAAGAGAAATGACAATCGTTTTGGTTTGAATGCCAGCAATTGTGTTACTACTACTCTCAAGATTAAGAGAAATGTGTTTGCAAAAGTGCACAAGTGGAAAAGAGGGTCTGCTTTGTTGGATCTGTTTTAAATCCATTTTGTTGCTGGCATACTTTTGGAGCTTAATGTTTGTTGTTGTCCCTATGCGTTTTTTGGCGGAGGAGCCTGGGATGTTGATGTCCACTTTAATCTAGCTTTACCTTTGGATGGTCTTCAGGCAACCAGGGTATTATATCTTAAACTCTCATTGATGATTCATCTCTTGACTGAGTCCCAGCTCATGGTCTATGAGGGCCCTTTCTCGGTTTTTGACGATTTTCATGTGCTGATACTGTTTTTGCTTGTTTTGAGCTCTATTTGAGCTTCTCCCACTTTTATGTGGAGATTATTGTTATTCCCTGTAACCTCTTTTTTTCTTAATATACGGGCCAAGCCAAATTTTCCAAAAAAAAAAAAACTTTATATCCAAAAGCTATGTCAGATTTTATATCCAAGAATGCCACTTTAATTATGAATTAGAGATGATTGAAAAATGTAAAATTTCATGTTATTCCGTGATCCATTTCTCAAAATCTAACCTCTTTTACAAAGTCTATGATAAAGAAATAATACATTATAGTATCTTTTTTTTGGATATTTAGGCCAATTAAGACAAACTCACACAATATCACATACGCAAGACTCTAAGCCAAAACCTCTTGGTTCGTAACCAAAACTCTGAACCGTCATACATTTAATCCCCAAACTAAATTCACCTCACTATGAAGATAATGTAATCAACGAATGACTAAGTTTCTACATTGCTCTTCAAACATCACCCAAACTAAGCTAAATCAACGGCCACCCTCCCCCTTGTCTAGATTCTTAAACATCTGAGACTGTTTATTCTTTTGAATTCTGTAAAAGGATCCTTTTTATATTTCTATTTAGTTTGTTCCAGCTTACAGAACAACATCCCTTCTCTTCTTTGGATTAGCAGCATCTGAATTTCCTTTCCTCATCATTGCGACAAACTCCTCATAATTGATTCTTCCATCCTGCATATAAACGTGGATCTTGTTAGGAAAACATCACAGTTTTGTTGTTTTTGGAACCTTAAAGGCCTCTCAGCATCCTACTTTTTGTGAGATTTCAGGATTTTTTAAAGGTTTTTGTGCTCTTACATTGTCAGAATCAGCTTCGGAGATCATTTCCTTTATGTCATTGGTTTCATAAAATCCCTTTTCTTTTAGGGCTTGCTCAAGCTCTTCTTTTGTAATGAACCTGAAATAAAGATGGCCAAGAGCGATCTGTGAATAATGAGTCTAAACACTCAGAATTCCACTCAAGCAACACTCGGCCTGTTTGAACTTACCCACTGCTATCCTTATCAAAGTATTGGAATGCCGTAAAAAGATGTTCTTCTCTGTCCATTCTATTCAAGTGCATTGTTGCAGTGATAAATTCATCGTAATCAATAGTTCCATTCCCATCTGCATCAGCCTGTATTTACACAATGTTCAGTAACAAAAAATAAAAGGAGATGAAAAGAAGCACATTTGATAAGAGGTTCTTGCAATAATATGAAGAACTTACGGCTTCCAATAACTGTTTAACTTCAGCTTCTGAAAGCTTTGTTCCTTGCTTTAGCAGCCCTTGCCTTAACTCTTCGGCTGTTATAGTCCCACTGTTATCAGAATCAATGTTTTTGAACATCTCTTTAAGGCCCCTAATCTCTTCCTCGGATAAGCATCCTGCAATGACCTGCAATGAAAAATGTCGAGTCTTTTAGTTTAGGATATTTGGCATTTTCCCTTCTAGGGAAAAGACATCCATTAGCTATAAGTGGAACAATTTGAAGTTAAAAAAAGAACAAATTTCATATATTTTTCATTAAGCATATTTTGAAGATTTGCTTTGTTTTTTTGGCTGTCTGAGGTTTCGTTTGGGATGGCTTTCTTACTGAATTTTAAAGCAGCTTTTTAGTATAAAAATTACTAAAAAGATGCTTTAAAGAGTAAGAAAGTCATCCCAAGTGAAGCCTTAGTTTTTCGTTATAAAATAGGCCACATCATAATATTGTAGATCTGAGAGAGAATGATTTTAAATTTTTACTTTTATCATCCTTGTGAAATATGCAATGATGGTAACAAGTGCAAAGGACCTTGTATCAAATTCTTAATATGTTGTGTTTTTTATGTTCTCTCTACAGTTAAACTAAATGCTTGTATAATTATCAGCTTGCAAGATCAGCATTCTTCTGCTAATCACAACTGCGCCACAATGTCTAAAGGATCAACGGATTGCCAAGCTGATGGTAATGACTATAAAGAAATTGATCTAAACAACATTTCGTGACTCTGAAAGAATCCACATTAGTTTCTAATTAGTAGATTTAAGCCACCATGAAACCTGAAATTGGTTTCAGTTATTTCTCACATTCATCATTGAAGTGAGGAAGCAGGTAGCTAAAGCAAGAAAAATAAGAAATAAATTGATTCTCCCTCCCAGTTTTTTTGCAAGACATACTTTAGAGCAAGAAATATTACCCTCAAAGCAACTTGCTTGAACTTGTTTAGCTCTCTGAATTGCTTTAGCCTATTGAGAACGACATTATCAAGAGGTGTGTCAGGTGCTTCTCCATCTTCTTTAATCCATGGATGGTCTGAAAAACATAGATATATCACTTAGTATAGGTATCCTGTTTAATTAAAAAAAAAAAAAAACTTTTTTTGATAAGAAATAATTGTATTTCATTAGATTTGAATGGAAAAGTTCTTTTGAAGTTGCTCTTGGTTTGTGGAACATGAGAAAGAATAAATAAAGAATACTTACTGAGAACGTCAAATGCTGTTAACCTCTTCTGCGGGTCTTTGCAGAGCATCCTCTTGACAAGGTCCTTTGCACCGTCTGATATTCTTGGCCAGGGTTCACTCTTCAAATCGATGGATGCTTCGAGGATGGATTTGAAAATTCCATGCTCAGACTCTGCATTAAATAATCTGGATCTTGTAAGCTTTCTAATTATCTCACATAAAAGATCTAGCTCTATATCATGGTAGAAACATAACAAAAGCAAAAAAAAAATGAAAATTACCTGACCAGAAAGGAGGAACACCACACAAGAGAATGTAAAGCATAACACCAATACTCCATATATCAACTTCCGGTCCATATTTCCTTTTCAGTACTTCAGGAGCAATGTAATAAGCACTGCCAACTATATCTTTGAAGACCTCACCTGTTTAATAATTACAATTTATCAAGTTAGAATTACCACTTGCAAAAAATTAAACACAGAGATTAATCTATAAGCTTAAATAATTTTGTTATAAATTGCAGCAACCTGGCTTGAAGAAAACGGAGAGTCCAAAATCAGTGGCTTGGAGAGGAGCATCTTCCGCTCTATTGAGCAATAGGAAGTTCTCTGGTTTGAGGTCTCTATGCATAACCCCCATGGAATGACAAGTATGAACAATCTGCACGATGGTTCGCAATAGGGCCGCGGCCGCCCTCTCAGTGTAATGCCCCTTCGCAATAATCCTATCGAAAAGCTCTCCGCCGGCACAAAGCTCCATAACTAGGTGCACTGAATGTTTGTCCTCATAGGCCCCCTTGAGCTCGACGATGTTGGGCTGGCCGGTGAGGTGGTGCATGATTTGGACCTCGCGGCGAACATCTTCGATGTCCTCAGCATTGACGAGCTTGCGTTTGGCGATTGTCTTGCATGCGAATTGTTGGCCGGTGAATTTATGAGTACAGAGGTGGGTGATGCCGAATTGGCCGCGGCCGAGCTCCTTGCCAATGGAGTAGGTGGAGCGAACATCTTCCATAGGTCGGCCGAGGACCGGGCCGATGGGGGCGAGCTTGGGGGGTTTCATGGTGGGTGGAGGGTTGGGGGAGGGGAATTTGGGAATGAAGAGTTGGGGGTTATTGTGGTAGGAGGGGGTGGCATTGGTGATGGCGTGGTCGACGGTGGCGGCCGGGGATTTCTGAAAGAAGGAGAAGCAGATTCCCATGGAGGGAAGGGTTGGGGTGTGAAAGAAAGGGTGAGGAGGGGAGGAGAAGGAGATGATATATCGATGATTTGTGCAAAGAGGCGGTGCGAATGTCGGAGTTGAACAGGTGGGAGGAATTTAAGGGAGAAGGAGAGGGGTTTGGGAATCAGTTGCGGCTTGCGAAGGGATTGTTGGGGGGAAGAGGTCGGGAGAGAATGGGGGGAAGTTAACGGTCATATGTACACGTTTTTTGCTTTTTGGATTTTCTATTTTTGAGGGGGCTGAGTGGATCCCTCAAAATTTAGGCATTTATTTTAATAAATAAATAAACTAATAAATAAAATTTGCTTTTATATTAGCTTTGTTGAGTTAAAAGGGTTTATTAATAGTTTTATTTAGGTGGAAATTAGAGTATATGATCTTATATTAATTATTAAGAAATAATATAACTATTTTTAAAAGTTTTAGACAACCACCGCAAAACTACCTCTATAGAAGATATCAAAATAATTTTTTAAAGAAAATTATTTCATTTATATTATCTTAAATAAATATTACAATGGAAATTTGAATTTATTATTATTTTTTTTTAATGGATGTTTAACCATATATGTCTCATAATATTCAGAATGAGAGAAATGTAATGTTTGTTTTTTTTTTTGAATAAATATACATGAAAATTTGTTTAGAATGAAAATACCCTATTTTAGTAGAGAATTAATGCAACTGAAATTAGTTTGTTTCAAAGTTCTAAAACTCATTCTCCTTTTACATCCCGTTGATGCCCTTTTGTCACGCAATCCTACTCCCCTTCACATATTGTTGTTCTTGTCGATGTCCTCGGTGAGCTCCCATTACGAACCTTTCTTCTTTTTTCATATGTCACCATCCCATGATGCCTTCCCCAACCTACCTCATTCTATGGAGAAATTATTTCGTGCGGACATCGGACCGTCTAGAGGCGAATCAGAGCGCGCCACATCACCTGGTATACAACAGGTACATAGTTGTGGTACATATCAAATGAGTGACGTGGCACGCTCTTATCCACCTACAGACGTCATCCGTATCCGCACAAAATAAATTCACCCTTATATGACTCCTCTTCTCCGCACACATTGCTATTCCTCTCATAAAGAACTCCCCTTCTCCTTGCGTTGTGGATGCCTTTGCCCAGTGCAAACCATTGTTTGAACCTAGCTCGAGCTAGGTTTAAACAAATTCATATTCAAACAATTTTTGTTCACGGCAGATTTCAATATACAAGTGATTATCATGGATTAAAGATAATTTCTCTTGGCTTATCAACCTTCTCTCCCTCAGGGTCCTATTTGGGAAAATACCGTTGATAAAAGAAACAAAAAAATCGCCACATGAGCTCATTGTCAAAGGTGCTAGCGAGACTAGTGGCATGTGAAGGAGAGGCTGCGATAGAAACACGTTGACAAATGCATTAACAAGATCGCGACACGATTTGGTAGTCGATGACCTCTCCCTCGCCTTTAGCAATGGGATTGTAATAAAGGAAAAATTATTGCGTCCTCCCATCTGACGTAGAGATGCGTCCTCCTACCGTCAAAAAATTCGGTTTTTGCTCGGTATTGCTAGGTATTATTTGGTAATAACGAGGAATATCATCATGTGAAGACCAATACCGAGTTATACCGAGCTATACCGAGGTATAGCTCGGTATAACTCGGTATTGGTCTTCACATGATGATATTCCTCGTTATTGTTTGGTATTGCTCGGTATTTGCTTGGTATTTCTCGTTTTTAGAGCGATTTTAGCTCTGGGAGGACGCATCTCTACGTCAGGTGGGAGGACGCAATAATTTTTCGTAATAAAGAGGACGAGAATGATGTTGCTTTTTATATTATTTAAAAGTTTGAGTGTTATGTACTTAAATAATCAAATTAAAATTATATATTAAGTATGCAAATTCTATAATTTTGACTACTATGTAAATCCCCCATTTTCAAATTACAAGGCTATTGAATGGAAGAACAAATTTTTACATTCAAACAATTAAAAAAAAAAATCCAAACATATTGTATTTACTATTCATAACAAACTCACGATTTAGAGCAATAATATGTTTAGATATCACATTCATTAAAATTAAGTCTTACATAGAATCAATTAAATGCCGAGTTTTTTCTATAATTCTGACACTCTTTTGATCATAAATTTTTTTTACTACAAATCAACACAAAATAATCAATATAACCATGAAAAAAACAAACAACTTATTCTATTAACCAAACTGAAAATCTCATACATATATAAAATTGCATACAGATCTTGTTTGGCATGGCTTTCTTATTACTTCTTAAAACAGCTTTCTTCTAAAAAGTTGCTTCAAGAAGTATTATGAAAGCCGTCCGGAACGAAGCCTTAGTGATGCAGGACTAAATATGCTTGAGATGAATGCAATAAGAACTTGCACGATTTGAAAGGAAGAAATCACAATTAAGATTATTAGCTACTAAAGAAAAATAGAAAATGTAAGAGGAGTCACTACGCTTAGGCCAAATTACATGCTAAGCATTTGAATTATCAATACAACTTAGAATAACAGAAATGAACATGTGAATTAAATAGTTATTCAACAAAAATCCATAATTTAATATTGAGATAAGCAACATAGAAAGTACACTCAAATCCTACGTTTACTAAGCGGAGGCAGAGGGCGAAGCACGAGAACTTTGCGATTAAATCACCACCTACAAGGTTAGCGGATTATAAAGATAAATGAAGAGAGAAGAAATTCACCCTTGTTGTTGTCCCAAAATAATTTGCCACTGGACGTTGGCAAGTTGCTGGTTGATGGCATTCGAAAGCGTGAAGATGATGCGGTCCACGTACTCTTCAATGGAGTTATCGACTTCCGGGTTGAAGTCGAAGAAGGTGGAGTGGAGGATGTTGACGTTCCATTACTTGTTGTAAGTGAATCCGTAGTCAATCTCCAAATCGGCCATTCATTAGTGTCGAAGGGTTGATGTGTGGACGAAGATCGTGGTTGCTTCCCTTGAAGACTTCTCTAGAGAGAAAGTTGAAGTTGAGAAGGTGCATGGGTGGCCGACTAATGGAGGTTAGGGGATTAAGTTTGGTTCAAATTTTGTGGAGGGAAATTAATTTAAACAACTTCCTAATTAATCCCCTTAATTGTAAGGAATTAATGAAGGGGAAGAGAGAGAGGGGGGTGGGATGATTCGGTTTGGGGATGGGGGTTTTATTTGGCCGGTGGTGGGTTGGGAAGTTGGCGGCTAGGAGGTGGTCGGTGGGGCTTGGTGGTGATCTTTGGCTGACGGATACAAGGGGGAGAATAAAGGGAAAAAGGTTAGAGAACCAAGAACTCATTATTGGGTAATGCGTTTAGCCTCTCCTAAGCTTTTCTCCAAAACTCATAAACTCACCAAGAGACACAAAAGTTGAAATTTCAGTAATAATCATTCATTCAACATGAAAAGATAACATAAGAGATATATATAGCCTCATGCAAAGAACTCAAAAATAAAAAGACGACAATGCTCTTTGGACTTGCACATGACATCCCTTAAGTAAGGGGTAAGAGTAGAAAATAAAAAAAAAAGCAAATACAAACATATATAAAACAATAAAAGACAAATACATAATACTACTCAAAATACATCGACTCGATCGTGGTCGTACATTGACGGCCACATCTTTGATAGACTTTCCAAGCTCCGATATCCCCATCACTTAGTATGCTGATTCTAACTTCCAATAATATTTTCTTATTCTAAGGCTTCGTTTGGGATGACTTTCTTACTGTTTTCTAAAATAGCTTCCTAGTAAAAAAATATAGCTCAAAAATTTTTTGAACAAAAAACTGCTTTTAAAAGCAATAAAAAAGCTGTTACATACGAAGCCTGAATAACTCACACGAAAGAAAAAATCGTTTCCTTAAACGCTGATAGGATCGATGACAAATCGGTATTTAATGTCCCCTTTGAAGAGCCTTTCCATGGCTGTATTAACATAGCTCATTGGTATAATCTCCACATCAGCTTCTATTTTGTTTTCTGCAGCAAAATTCAGCATCTCCTGAGTCTCTTTCGTACCTCCACAGATCGAACCAGCCACTATCTTCCTTCCTGATAAATTATCATTATCATATATCATTAGTCTTAATCATCTTATGTAAAATATGTTTTATTTATTTAATAATTCATGTCACATCTTCTTTCATATAACTTTCATAATTCATCAGAAAAATGAGCAGTGGCAGCTAAAACTATTAGAGATTATGTGGAATGAATATTGAAAGAACTATTAGAGCTTTTAATTAGGTTATTAATTGGAGATTAAAGCATTGCACTTATTTAATAAGCCTCACAAAGTACATATAAAAAATATAAGTAGTCAACTTCTCAGTTAAAGAAAATAAAAAATATAATTTCTAATACTTTCTAACTAAGTCTTTTTTAGGCTTACATCTACTTTTCTTAACATACGCCGAATATAATATATCTACTCTTTGAACGATGTCATTGGAAGTTCGACGTATTATGTGATCAAATTATTTAAGATGAATAATTATCGATAAATATATTAACAATTAGTTATTTTTTATTATTGAAATCACCATAAATCTTTTAGGGTGAATTATATACATAAAATTATATGACCGAATTAAGCACTTGAATTACACTTGAAAACTTATGAACATAAATTGATAGAAGAAATGATATTCAATTCTATCATACTTATAATTAAATCGAATGGATCGATGAGACGAATTTAACGAACCTAAGATCACTCATTTCTGACATCGTTAATGTATTCAAATGTTTGATAAATGATCCAACTTCAAGGGGATCAATATGAATCATGTAATGAATTGATTTGGATTCCGGTAGATTTATCAAAATTCTAATCCCAAAAAGACTATAAATAAACCTCATTCTCTGCTGATGGAAAAAGGAGGAGAATAATTGAGAGAACAAAAAACTCTTTGGTATTTTTCAACTATAGCTACCGATGACCACCACCAGCAATCACTTTCATCATCTTTAGACATTTGTCGAGTTTTAACCTTGTTGTTGTGTTTTAATACTTATAAGAGATACTAAATACTTATTCTCAAATAATCCTATTTTCTTCGGCTATGAAAAAAAAGTGTTTTTGTATCTCTTATTATATTCATTTGTTACAACTAGGTCAGATCCCGTGTTTTTTTTTTTTTTGGGTTTTCCACATACAAAATTTCTTCTCACGCACCTTTTTTTGTTACAAAACGAAGACAAAATACATACACTATATCGATGCAAGTTTTCTAGCAATATAATAGTTTGGTGCAGTCTATACGAATCAAATTTGTACAATCCCTATAAAAAATAAATTATTTATTCTCAAATAATAATATGTTCTTCAACTATGAGAAATATATGATTTTGTATCTTCTATTTTTTGAGTAATATAATATTTTGTGTTATGAATTTTGGTATAAAGCAAAACATAAAATAGATACTCTAACAATATATATTTTCTAAAATAGAATAACAAATTAAAAAAGAAAGAGATATTATATATGTAAATATTATTGTTTAAATGTTATATTTAATAATTGCCAATATTTTTTTATTTTGAATATATTAAAAATCAATTTAATGAAATTTTGTATTAATAGAAATAATAAGTCTCAAAATTTTAAGTTTATCCTTCTCCAAATCTGTGTGAGGTTTTTCTGCTCAATTTGTTTTTTAAGAGAAAATACGTGATGAGGACATATATCTACCCATTAGTAGAGGAATGGAGGGCACCAGCAGCGGCTCCGGCGATCCTCCGACCACCACAAGCTTCCCCTGCACCTTCAACAAATCCATCAATGGCTCCATCGGATGCGCCGCTGAAACCGTGTCTATTATCCCATCCATACTCCCCATCACCTCCTGCCAAAACAAGAACAATTTGTAATTTCTACTTATCTAAAACTAAAAGTTATTAAATTTAATCATCAGTACTTTCATCTGCTCATCATTAGTACTGATCACAAACTTATCAGCACCAAACCGCTCAATCGCCTCCTTCTGCTTATGCGGCGAAGTACTGATCACAGTCACCCTCATCTCCATCGCCTTGGCGAACTTGACTGCAAGGTGGCCGAGGCCGCCGAGTCCGACGACGCCGAGGTGGAGGCCAGGGCGGTCGAGGCCGAAAAAGCGCATGGGGCTATAGACGCTGATGCCGGCGCAGAGGAGCGGGGCGGCTGAGTGGAGAGGGAGGGAATGAGGGATGTTGAAGACGAATCGCTGATGAACGACGATGATGTCGGAATATCCACCGTAGGTGATGGATCCGTCGCGGTCGGTGCTGGAGTAAGTCAAGATGGATTTTTTACAGTAGCACTCGAGGTTCTGTAAGCAGCTATCGCAGCTGCCGCAGGAGCCGACTATGCAGCCCACGCCAGCTTTGTCTCCGACTTTGAAAGTTTGTACATTGGCTCCAATTTCGATCACCTCTCCGACGATCTCGTGACTGTAACAGGGAGAAAGTTACAGGGCAATTTGAGTTATTTGGGTAATTTTCAGTGTTAGATGCCATTCTAAAATTTTAAGCTTATTAGAATTTTAATTAGATTAAGAATTAGTCATGATTGACTTTTTTATTAGATTTAAAAGTAAATTTGACTCTTAATACAATATAATGAAACAAATCAATTTGATTATAGCACTTCTCTCTCTTTATCTATATGTGTGATGGATATTCGTTCAAATCTAAGATGCAAGCTGTTCATCTCTCTATTTCAGTAAACGTTGCAGAACATGACAATACAAATACTTTTCATTCCTTGAAATAATACCAAAAATAACACACTCCTCATCACTCTGTAACTCCATTAACTGCTGATCATAAGGGCAATCATGATGAACTCTTTTTTTCCTTTACATGCTATCAACAATTCAACCGATTCCCCTCTCTAAATAAGGAGAGATTATTCTGTGCGGACATCAGAAGGGAAGAACCATCTAGTTTTGTCTCTGTGAATAACAAAAGTGCAGTTCGCTGCACTTTTACTGTTCACAGAGACAAACCGAACGCTTCTCCCTGTACGATGTCCGCACAGAATAATTCATCCTAAATAAGATCTCATCATGATAAATTCTTTACCTTCTCTGTATCATTGAGGGTCCTATATATGCTACTAGTCCTATTAATTCCCTTGCTCTTTCAAAATCTCCTCACCTTCCATTTTGACTTTCTCATCTCTTCTTAATTAAGGTTTAATGCTTTTGAGAAGGAGAAAAAGTTAATGGAGTGATTAAACATTAAATATATAAAATGGAATAGTTTAAAAATATTGTTTCCACCATTAGTACTGATCAGGAAGGAACAAGTTGCAGAGATTAGTACTGACCCAGGAACAAGAGGGTAGACAGAGAAGCCAAGCTCATTTCTGGCTAAGTGAAGGTCGCTGTGACAGATTCCACAGTAGAGAATCTTGATGGTTACATCATCATCTTCGTTCAACCTGCAACAAAACAGAGATTTATTTAGGGTTTAGCCGCTAACATATTAAGAAAGAGCACTCGATCTGCTTAGCTTGCTATAATCTTCTTTGATTAGCTTTGAAATCAAATTACCTTCTTGTGAAGGAGAAAGGAGAAAGGAAGCCAGAGGAGTCTCGGGCGGCATAACCGTGAGCTTCTCTACTTTTCTTCTTCGTTTCCATTAGCAGCTGAAAGAGTGAAGAGGCAAAGAGATCAGGGAAGAGGGGAGATGAACAGAAATGAACTTGGAGAGATTCTGCTGTCTTTGCTTTTACCATAAGATAAAAATTGATTTTTTAAGAATATTTTTATATAAATTTCTATTATTTATTGGACAAACTTTTAAAAATGAATTTCTTTGAAATTTTTTAGCTGGAAGCAAAATGAAGAAAGAAAAAATTATAAATAATGCTAATCATTACCTTAGGCGACAATTGGCTATGGGGTAAAGGACGAATTACTATGTGCGGATATCAAATATCGTCTAAAGCCTAATAAAAATATGTCACGTCACCCTTACTTGGTACCGTAGCTCGGTATGCTTGGTATCGAGCTCAGTACTGCTTGGTATTGGATGACGTGACTGCACCTGATTGGCCTCTGAATGACAAGCTATGTCCAATGTGTGCACGTAATAATCTCACAGGGAAAAGGAATAGGGGGTGCAGATAGTGGTGAGCTCTCTGAACAACTGCCAGGTGCATAATAATTCTTATTTTAAAAACTTATTTTGACATAAATTTTTAAATTAAAGAAGGTTAAAACGTTTTTAAGTAAAATTAAAATAAAAAACGAAGAAATAAAAAAGGACAAAATAAACAACAGAAAACAATATATAATGAAAAAAAAAGTTGGGATGAATAAAAAAAGAAAAAAAAAATGAACAAACGAGTAAAAAAGAAATCAATTATCAAAACAAATAAAAAAAGTAAAATATGAAAAAATTCAAAATAAATAAAAAAAAGAAATAATGAAAACAAAAATATTAGAAAATATAAATGAAAAGTAAAAATTGAAAAAAAAAAAAAACGTTCAAAATAAAAATGCAAAAAAAGAAATAATAAAAAAATGACTAGTCGTTAACTCATTGAATGACGGCAGTTTTTTTTTTCAATTTCTTGAATTTTGTTTTATTCTTTTTATTGTTGTTGAGGGCTAAAATATATGCGACGATAGAGTTAAAATATTACGTCTTAGCGTTGTACGAATATCTAGTTCACACATAGAGAGCACAAGATGTTTTTACGTGGAAAACTCTGTAAAGGGGAAAAATCACGGGGCTTGGCCCAGTCTGAAACGATTCCACTAGTGTTTGGGTAGATTACAATGGGCTGACGCGTCCCTGAGGGCGATCAAATTACAAATGTCAACAGTTTAATTGAAATCTAGTTACAAACGAGAATGAAAGTACAAGGTCACTTGGTGGACTGGCAGAAGTCCGGTGCTACTTGAAAATTCGGGCGTCAGTTGGTAGCCTCGCGTTGGTTTGGCAGAACTTCAGCGTCGGGCGGTGGCCTGATGGAAGCTCGGCCTCAGATGGTGGTTTGGGGAAACTTCGGGCCTCATATGGTGGTTCGGTAGAAGTCCCCAGCCTCAGGTGGTGGTCTGACTGAACTTTGGTCCTTAAGTGGTGGTCCCATGAAGCTTTGGGCCTCAAGTGGTGGTGCGGCAGAGCTCATGGTCTAAAGTGATGGTCTGGCGGAGCTTAGGGTCTCAGGTGGTGGTTCGGCGGAGCGTAGGGCCTCAGGTGGTGGTCCGGCAAAGCTCAAGGCCTTAGGTGGTGGATCGGCGGAGCTCAGGGCCTCAGGGCCTCAGGTGGTGGACCGGTGGATCTCAGGGCCTCAAGTGGTGGTCCGACGGATCTCAGAGCCTCAGGTGGTGGTCTGGCAAAGCAATGACGTCAAGCGGTTGTCCGACGGAGCTCAGGGCCTCAGGTGGTGGTTTGGCGGAGCAACGACGTCAGGCGATGATCTGGCGGAACTCAGGCGGTCGATCTCTGATCTCTCTCTAGAATCCTTTAGCTTAGGTCTCCTTTTCAAGAGGGAGGAGGGGTCTATTTATAGATTTTCAAGAGTATCATAGCTTGTAAATATGAGGATGATTAAGGGCAAATGGGGAGTGGATTGGATGGATGACCGATGTTGAATCCCTTGATCGTGGATTATTCGTGAGACATTTGAAGGTCTTAATAATGTCGGAATTCCATGATCTTGGGCTCGCTGGATTTTTTTCGTCGAGCCACTTGATTTGACTATAAGCATGTCATGTTTGAAAATCGTTTGGTAATCCAAATTGCGGTTTGAACCTTCCAACAGTGCTTAGGGTCCTCGATTCGAACCCGCCATTTGGGCTCAGATTGAGTCAAATTTGGTGTCGTTGGGTTCGTATTTCAAAGACGTTCAGTTCGACAATAAGTTTGCTGAAATCGGAGATCAGATAGTCCCAATTTTAATTTTGAAAGTTTCCAACTTGATTTTGCCTCGAGATTCATGCCCGATCAAGATAATTTTTTGATGATGTAACAATTGTATTTTTTGGGTTTTTGTTTTTTTATTCTTTATGTTTTTCTTTTCCTGTTTTTTTTTTGTGGTTTGGGTATTGCACTATTTTTTTTTTTCATTTTATATTTATATTTTTTTTTTTTTGCATTTTTACTCATCCCAATTATTTTTTCATTATATATTCGTTTCTGTTTTTTTATTTCTTCATTTATTATTTTTTATTTTACTTAAAAAAATTTAACCATTTTTACTTCAAAAAAATTTATGCAAAAATAAAATTTTAAAATAAAAATTATTATGCACCTGTCAGTCATTTGCTTAAGATAAAGACGGGCATCATTCATAATTTTTTATTTCTACATATTAATATATTATTACCGGCTTTTCTACATATTAATATAATATTACCGGCTAAAAAAAAAAATCCTATTTGCAGGATATCATCTCTCATAATTAATTTTTTAGAGGTATTATATATTAGAAATCATAGTGCAAGTTGACTCAGCTTTAAGAAAAAACTATATTATTATTATTATTATTATTATTATTTTATTTTGCTAGATAGCACAATTTGTTATTACAATATTGCTTCCATTAGTATAGATAATATATAAATTTATACAAAAAACTTCATCAGTTTATTGTTTGCTTCAATAATATGCAAGAAAATGTTAATAATTTGGAGATTACTAAGCTTTGTGTTTATAGGTGCTAATGTCATTAAGCTTTGGAGGTATTATATTCTCCTGTTATTAATTTATGTTACTTACATTCATCATATTAGATGGAAATTTTGTTTTATGAAAAGTTAAAAGATTAATTAAAATGGATTATTATGGTAGTGGGAGGTTTTACTTTAGCATTAGAAGTTTAAACTATAATGTTTGATCCTAGTTATGAAGATATGAACAAATTTTTGTGTCTACATAGAGAGGAACCATTAAGTTAGGATCAAAATAATTAATATAGGTTGTAAAATCTATAAAAAAAATATCGTACCCTTAAGTTGAGATTTAAGAGAGTTCAAAGGTTTGAGAAATTCCGAAGCTCCACCCGAACATCATCTCCGTCGAATCATTGTCATTGGACGTTCACTACCAAAACACCATTAGTGGACCGTCATCTTATCTCTAATGTTGGACCTTTTCTACTTGACCACCACTATCAAACCATCTCCCCAATACTGCCACCTTACTTTTTATTGCCCAACCAACATCATTAGAATGCTACATCCAACCACAATCATCAAATCGTTGTCATCCCCATACCACTAATGCAATAACCCGAAAATATGAAATGGGTTAAAAAAAAATCCAAATTCATGTTTGAATTGCAACGTAGTAGCGCTATACCTTTGAGCGTCGAGGCATTGGGTTTCAAAGAACAATGGCTCGAGGAATGACTGCTGGGGCGTTGAAGCCTATGTTCTACAGTGATGCTGGATTAGACATGCATCGTTGCGGCGCTGCCCACTAAAAATTATATATATTGATACGACATCAAAAATTGCCTTGATCGAGCACGAATCTCGAGGCATATTCAAATTGAAAATTTTCAAAATCAGATTTGGGATCAACTAGATTCCAATTTCAGCAAACTTATAATCAAATTGAACATCTCAAAGGGACGAATCAAATAACACAAAAATTGGTCCAACCCAAGCCCAAATGGGTCCAAATCGGGGGCCCGGACCACATTTGGAAGGGTTAAAGCATTATTTGGATAATGAAATGATATCAAAATATGGCATGCTTGCTTGATCAAGGCAATTTTTTAGGACGTATCAAAACTATAATGTTTGATCCTAGTTATGAAGATGTGATTTTTTTTTTTTTTGTATCTACATAGAGAGGAACCATTAAGTTTGGATCAAAATAATTAATATAGGTTGTAAAATCTATAAAAAAAATATCGTACCCTTAAGTTGAGATTTAAGAGAGTTCAAAGGTTTGAGAAATTTTGGAGCTCCGCCCGAACATCATCGTCGTCGAATCATTGTCATTGGACGTTCACCACCCAAACACCATTAGTGGACTGTCATCTTATCTTTAACGTTGGATCTTTTTTCTACTTGACCACTGCTATCAAACCATCTTCCCACCGCTGCCACCAGAACTTTTATTTCCCGACCAACGTCATTAGAATGCTACATCCAGCCACAATCATCAAATTGTTGTCATATCCTGACAACTAATGCAATAACCTGAAAATAAAAAAATGTGTTAAAAAAAATCTGAATTTATGTTTGAACTACAACACAGTGGCGTTATACCTTTGAGCACTGAGGCGCTAGGTTTCAAAGCACAATGGCACCTGGAATGGCCACAACGACATTAAAGCCTGAGTTCTACAATGGTTTTGGATTAGACATACATCGATGCAACCTTACCCGCTATATATGCATACATCTCCACTCATCCGTCCACTCGCTCACCTTATGCTGGCTTGTCTGAGTAGGAATCGAAAGAGAAGGGAGAGCAAGGAGGAGAGACATGGAAAGAAGATTTTTTATTTTAATTTTTACGTCGGATTTCTTTACCGATTTTACAAAAAATTCTCAAAACAAAACATGTGACTTCAATCCTATCTTTGTTTTTAAAGATTTTGATTTTAATTGTTGGACTTTCCTCAAAATTGATTTTAATGTATTTTTCCTAGTTTTATTGAACCTTCACCGCATAACTTTT